TCTTCCTCTCCCCTTTGTTTAGCTCTTGTTTTTGTCTTGCCAGAGAAGTGTACCTAGTAAGGGAATGTTTCTTATTTGTGCCAAGGGACTATTGATGATGCTGTATAATGGCAAGATAGTATTTTGTAATGCCTACTTTTTTATATTTCTAATACAAATGGGCAAAGCTGTGAAACCAATTCACTAGGTTTATCTGCTTTGAACATTATTGTACATGTCAAATTCCCTCTAAACAGTGCCTGGCACATAATACGTGCTATAAAAGTGTAGACTACGGCCGGGCGTGGTGGCTCCCGCCTATAATCCCAGCAGTTTGGGAGGCCAAGGCGGGTGGATCACGAGGTCAAGAGATCGACACCATCCTGGTCAACATGGTGAACCCCGTCTCTACTAAAAATACAAAAAAATTAGCTGGGCATGGTGGCGCACACCTGTAGTCCCAGCTACTTGGGAGGCTGAGGCAGAATTGCTTGAACCCAGGAGGCAGTGATTGCAGCAAGCCAGGATCATGCCATTGCACTCCAGCCTGGGTAACAAGAGCGAAACTCCATCTCAAAAAAAAAAAAAAAAAAGTGTAGGCTACTACTGCTACCACTTATTATTATCATTATTAAGTATTCATTGATTGAAAATCAAAGAGTTAGCTAAATCATACCTGCTACTGTACAAATGTTGGGGAAAAGCTGAGAAAAATCATTCAGTAAATAGTTTTGAGAATAAGAATTTATTCCTTGGATATTTTTAAATTATTAAATGTTATTGAAACTGTGCACCAAAACTGTATGAAATAACTTAATTTTGCAGAGCTCTATGTCTATATTCTATGTAATTAAAGTGATTTTTATATTATTTTGATAGTTTTAAATAAAAAGGTTTGGAGGTTTGTTTGCAGTCATATTGCCTTTCCATGCATTCATCCAACATGCATTTATTGCATTTCTACCCTGTGCCAAATACTGATGTGAATTCTGAGTCTACAGCAATGAATAAAACAACTAAAAATTCCTGCCCTCATGGAGTTTATGTTCCAATTGGAGAGGTAAACCTCAGACAAGATAAATAAGTAAAATATATAAATGCTAAGAGAAAAAATCGTGAAGCAAGAGAAAGGGATATAAGATGCAGCAGACAGGGTGACTGCAGACCTGAAGTGAGGAAACTAATGATGCTGATTTCTCCGAAGAGCAGAATGAACAGAACTAAGGTCCAGAGACTCTACACATTTAATATTAACATAAATTACTGGAATTTTTTTCCTTTCCTAATTAGTAAGTAAAATCAATGCAGCAAATTACTCATTGTCAGCTCTGACCTATTGAAGAGTTGATTTAGTCCTCTTAATAAGTTTAAAAAGTTATTGGATGTGGTGGCTCACTACTGTAATACCAGCATTTTGAGAGGCTGAGGTGGGAGAACTGCTTGAGTCCATGAGTTCAAGACAAGCCTGGGCTTGTCTTGCTAGGGAGACCCCCATCTCCACACACACAAAAAATTAGCCGGGCATAGTGGTCTTTGCCTGTAGTCCTAGCTACTTGGGAGGCTGAGGTGGGAGAATCACATGAACCCAGGAGTTCAAGGCTGGAGCGTGCCATGACCTTGCCATTGCACTCCAGTCTGGGTGCAGAGTGAGACCATGTCTCAACAAAAAGTTTTTTAAAAGGTTACAAAGCTACATTTTTAAGTTGATACTTTCACTTTTGTCTGTCTGCTATCAATGAATACATGTCAGAAATAAGCTTGATATCATAAAGGAATATGATATAAACATTGTCAACTATCAAATGTTAGAGAAGGGTAGAAAGAGAAAATTGCCCTGGGGAGCAGAACACTTCCTTTCTGTCCTCAGAAATGCTTACATTCTCATTGACCAGAGATGAGTTCTTTAACCTTTCTTGGCACCTTAAAAAGACACTTTTACCTGTAGTGTGATTCAAGTAATTTCCCCCTTAAATTTATCCCTGTGAGTCTGCTAATGCTTCAAATTCCCTTGAAGGAGAATGAAACCTTTCATTTTTCGGATGTTTGCTAATAAAGCCAATTGTTTATGGAATTTACAATGAATTTCACAAAGGATTTTGAAGTCAATGCAATGGAAAGACTATCAATTTTGTTTAAGCCTAGGAATTAATTAATTAATGCTTTAGACACATGAATCCGGCTGCTGCATGTGAAAGAGAGAAACAGAGATTCAAGTTGGAAAACCCAGTAATCCCAGCACTTTGGGTGGCTGAGGTGGGTGGATCACTTGAGGTCAGGAGTTCAAGACCAGCCTGGCCAACATGGTGAAACTCTGTCTCCACCAAAAATACAAAAATTATCTGGTCGTTGTGATGGGCACCTGTAATCCCAGCTACTTGGGAGGCTGAAGTCGGAGAATTGCTTGAAACCCAGGTTTCAGTGAGCTAATATTGTGCCACTGCATTCCAGCCTGGGCAACAGAGTGAGACTCCATCTCAAAAAAAAAAAAAAAAAAAAAAGAGAGAGAGAGAGAGTTGAATACACCGTCATGGAAAGGAAGTACCACCAAACATATGACATCAGTAGGACTTGCCAACTAATTTTTTGTGAAATAATCAAAATATTGACAACATTTTTGGTCTGGGATCCTTATGGTCTAATTGGTTTTTTACTAGTGACAAGTAATAGTAGAAGGGTTACAACACACTTAAGACAAAGGAAAAATTAGAACCTAACATTCAAAAAAAGCTAAAACTCATCTCACATTTTATAGATGTGTTATAAGAATCTGCAGGTCCTACAGAGTAAGAGTTGAGAAGATGGGATCTCCATTTATTTAAAAGCACCAAACAAGCTGTAAAAAGGGATATATTAAATGCTACTATAGAAGGATCTCCATGATATATTAAGTGAAAAAAGTGAGGTGGAAGAAAATAAAGACAAACATGTACAGGCTAGATGTAACTCTACTGAGTATTTCTGCCAAAAGAAGTCAAACCTGAATCTGCCAGCCTCCTCTAAATGAGTTCTCGAAGTGTAATTTGGAAGACCCCTCTGTGTCATGGAGACAGGAACACCATGAGGTCAAAAGTATTTTCTGTTTTTTTTTTTTTTGGGGGGGGGGTGGGGGACGGAGTTTCGCTCTTGTTACCCAGGCTGGAGTACAATGGCGCGATTTCGGCTCACCACAACCTCCGCCTCCTGGGTTCAGGCAATTCTCCTGCTTCAGCCTCCTGAGTAGCTGGGATTACAGGCACACGCCACCATGCCCAGCTAATTTTTTGTATTTTTTTAGTAGAGACGGGGTTTCACTGTGTTGACCAGGATGGTCTCGATCTCTTGACCTCGTGATCCACCCACCTCGGCCTCCCAAAGTGCTGGGATTACAGGCTTGAGCCACCGCGCCCACCAAAAGTATTTTCTTAATGATACTATTATTTGCCTTTTTCACTTTCATTCTGTCCTGAATAAACAGTGGGGTTTTCCAGTGGCTACATGTGTGATTTTGCAGCAGACTGAATGCAAAAGCAATAATGTGAATCTGGTTGTTTTTTTATTCAGCCAGACATTAGAGATTCAAAAATATAAAACAATACCATTTTTCTACTACATTTTTTTATTTAAAAGTGTTACTTCTGCTATCCCGTAATTATTTTTATTTTAAATGTTTGTAAATTGTGTTTTAATTTCTGAGTACATAACAAAAACAGAAGCTTCATTGTATCTTCAATAATTTTTTTTAAGAGATAGGCTCCGTTACCCAGGTGGGAGTGCAGTGGTGAGATCATAGCTCACTGCAGCCTTCAACTCCTGGGCTCAAGAAATCCTCCTGTCTCAGCCTCCTGAGTAGCTATACTCAGGACTATAGGTTTGTGCAGCCATGCTCAGCTATCTTTCTTTCTTTCTTTTCTTTCTTTTCTTTTCTTTCTTTTCTTTCTTTTCTTTCTTTCTTTCTTTCTTTCTCTTTTTTTGTAAAGAAGGGGCCTCACTATGTTGCCCAGGCTCAACTTGGCCCAAAGTGCTGGGATTACAGGCATGAGCCATTGGTACCTGGCCTTCAATAATTTTTCAGAATGAAAAAAAGGGGTCCTGCAATCAAAAAGTTTGTGAACTGCTCTTCCAGATAGGTCATTGGCCCTCAACCCTAGAATTAGAATTACTTCAAACATTAGAATTACCTGGAGAATTTAAATACTGATGCCAGGCCTCACCTCTAGAGGTTCTGATTTAATAGGGTCTAAGGTCGAGCATCAATTTGAAAAACAAAACAAAACACCACTCATCCCTTTGAGTGTGTAGTCTGGATTGGGAACCACTGCTCTGGCTATTATCAATTTAAATACAAGATGAAAAAGGAACATGTTGTATTATGCTATGGGGGCACAATCAGCAAAACGACACAGAAAGTGACTAGACAAAGGATCCCTGCTTAAGGAACGGATTAAAGCAATCCCCAAGGGAATCTGAAGCATTAACAGGCATATAGGAAGAAATATAAGGGGAATATCACTTGAATCACACTACAGCTAAGACTGTCTTTTAAGATGCCAAGAAAGGTCAAAGGAACCATCTCTGGTCAGAGAACATAACGGATTAAAGTGATTAAAAAAGTGAAGGGAGTAACACTGGGAACTAAAATTACAATCTGTTAATCTCACACCACTGGTTTACTGCTCTGGCCTAGTCTCAGCTGCTGAATTTCTTCATACAGAACTGGCTCTCCTGGGTCCTTCCCCTCGTCTTTCCTGCTCAGTGCTCGCTGCCTCCAGAACCCTCCCTCATCAGAAAGCTCAGGCTCCACTCAGCGAAGTGCGCAGGCGCACCGCACGTCCGGGAGCCACGTGTCAGGCGCCAGGTGGCAGAAGGCCGTTGGAGCGCATGCGCAGCTTTTCTCCACGCCGCCCCCCAGCGCGCTGCTCTTCCAGCGTCCCCAGAGCCGCTTTCCCGCCAGGACTACGCTTCAGCGGTTTTCAGCTTCCCTTCATCGTCCCTCCCGCACTCGTTTTTAGCCACTGCTGTCGGCTTTTATATCCTTCTCTGCCATGCCGCGTGAGCCTGCGAAGAGGAAGGCAGAAAAGCGGCTGTTTGACGCCTCGTCCTTCGGGAAGGACCTTCTGGCCGGCGGAGTCGCGGCAGCTGTGTCCAAGACAGCAGTGGCGCCCATCGAGCGGGTGAAGCTGCTGCTGCAGGTGCAGGCCTCATCGAAGCAGATCAGCCCGGAGGCGCGGTACAAAGGCATGGTGGACTGCCTGGTGCGGATTCCTCGCGAGCAGGGTGAGCAAAGGCAGGCCACCACGCCTGCCTCTCCCGATGCCTCCATCAGCTTCCCAGAGAAAAGGGGTGGCTGGGAGGGGGATGATTGTGGGCGCCACAACCACAGCTACGGCTGTCGATAATGAGTTTGCTTTTTACGCTTCCAGAATTTAGTTTCTGAACCTATCTAACAGGCTCTACTTTCCCACGGCCTTCTTAGTCCTGACCGAGGCCTGGTACAGAGGAGACCACTGCCTTCTCTTTCTCTAAATCTGCGGCAGCACGATTTACACTTTGGTGCACCTGTGCCAGATGCAGAAGGAAAGTGGTTGACCTCCCAGGATTGAGGGAGATGCCATTAAGCACTCTGCTATAACTAGTGCTGTAAGTTACTTAAATATTTGTTGGTATAATCACGCCACTATGCTCCAGCATGGGCGATAGACAAGACCTTGCCTCAAAAAATATATGTATATTTGTTGAAATAGTAACGTCTAAGAGAAGTACACATATGGGACCACTGGGGCTTCCAGTACTCTGAAACCTATTAGTGAAAAGAGGTTCTGCTTATTCTTGAGGAACTACTGAAGACCAAGGAGGCTCTTAGCTCTGCCCAAAATCAAGGGAGCGGGGAAAAGAAAAGAAAAAAAACCCTCAGTCATCAAGATAAAAAGTATTTTAAGGCCGGGTGCAGTGGCACACACCTGTAATCCCAGCACTTTGGGAGGACAAGCGGGCAGAACACTTGAGCTCAGGAGCTCCAGACCAGCCTGGATAACATGGTGAAACCTTGTCTCTATGAAATATACAAGAATTAGCGGGGTATGGCGGCGCATGCCTGTAGCACCAGATACTTGGGGAACTCTGATGCGAGGGTTCAGGGACCCCAGATTGTGCCACCACACTCCAGCCTGGGTGAAGGAGTGAGACCCCCGTCTCAAAAAAACAAAAAAATGACTTTAGGGTCTTTCCCTTTCCGAAGCTCCTCTCTTTTACAAGAGAACTGTTCTCGTTTCTCTTTATTTTGCGTATTAAACCTCCACTCCAAAAACAAAAACAAAAATCTTTAAACTATTTTAAAGCAATCTTTTAAAAAATCAAGTCATGTGAAAAATTCGTAATGAACACAATATATACAAGTTTAAAGATGGAATCAGTATTACCAGTTTTTCTTTTTGCATCAAGTGCTGTCCTTATTTAAAATTTTATTTTTGTTCATTATGGATTTTTTTTGTTAATATTGGCATGATTTTAAAGGCATAAATAACCAAAGTGCTTTGTGAACCATTGCTGCAAAATGGCTCCCAAGTTAGCTAAAGGGATAAGTTTATCAAATATTTTATATAATCCACCCATATAGTTGGATTCAATAGAAAAATTTGTATGATCTTTAAAAAAGAAATATGCCTATTTATTGTATATTCTCAACAAGAAATGAAGTGCAGACCTTTCTTTTAATCCTGTTCTAGGGCCAGATACTATCCCATTTAAAAACTACCTTGTCCCTAGGAATGCTAGGAATGTGGTTACAACTCTTTCAGACCTATGGTGTGGAGTATATGGGGTCAGGGGTGGAAACTTAATGCATCATATAAACTGAGTTTAGAATACCCATCTGGGAGCTAAGCTCAGATCTTTCATAGTTCACCTCTCTCCACTCATTCGTTTAATCAAAACAAGGTTCTCATTTTCCCCAAGATTTTTTTTAGGAAAAGCAAGGAACCTGTCTCTTCTTTGCTTATATTCTAAGACTTCTGAAGAGAAGTAGGGGCCTCTCTATTATTAGCTTTTTGCTTTAAATATTTTGTCAGGTGGAATGAAGTATTCTGGTCAGATGGGGCTGACTAGTGCTAATTTATTTTATATTTTAAATTTTTTCACAATATTTAAACCTAAACATTTAATATGGCTCTTGTAAGTTGACATCATTCTCAAATGTATCCTGGTCCCTGCTTTCTTTACCTTGCAAAATGAGAGGATCATAAGTAGAACTTTAAGATACACTGTATTATATATAAAGCTTTATGAAGGTACCATGGTGTATCCTATGCTGAGATCAGTAATTCACAACAAGGATACTATTGCCATCTAGAGGCAATTTTGGAAACTTGTGGGGCAATTTTTTAATTTAGCACAAAGATAGAGGGGTGTAAACCTACATTACAATGAAATGAAAGGCAAGGGCCAGGGATGTTAAATGTCCTGCTGCTATACTCAGGCCAGTCATACACAATGAAGAGTTACCCTGCAACCTAAATGACTTTTAGATTTCCACTTGGACATTCGTGTAGCAGTAAAACCTGTTTATGATTCTCTAAGCCTAGAAAGAACTTAACTCTGATTTACTTATAAACACACACTGTCTGGGGCATGGTTTTAGTTTACAGTGATTCCAGTAATGCAGCTACCATATAAGGAAGTAGAGGAAAGATTGTACTTTCTTCTGTTCAGAAGTTTGCTAAGAGTTGTTCATAATTGCAAAAACTTACATCAGCAGCTCTGCTTATAGTATTTGGTCATCATTTATACAGGTTGAGTATCCAAAAAGCTTGGGACCAAAATTTTAGATTTTTTAATTTTTTCAGATTTTAGAATATTTGCATTATATTTACCAGATGAGCATCCCTAATCTAAAATCCAAAATGTTCTAATGAGCATTTCCTTTGCCCATCATGTCAGTGCTCAAAATGTTTCAGATTTTGGAGTATTTTGGATTTTTGAATTAGGGATGCTCAACCTGTATCATCTGTATTTGTAGCTATTGAATCTATGATGATTGTATGTATACTTGTACACATATGTATTTATCTGACATATTTCCAAATGTCAATATGTAATTACAGCTGATTCATTATAAATAGAGGCAAGCTTGATTATTATATTATGGTAGGGTCATGACCTACCAACTTATTTTAAAACATAAATTTCTCTTTTTATATAGCAATGAGGGCATTATATTGATTTTTAAGGTAGGAAAGGAGGTCATTGTCTTTGAATTTTATTTCTGGATAGTAAAGGGAATATTGTAAAATATTTATTATATACAGAAGACTTGAGCCTGGTAGGGTTGAGAATCACCATGCTAGATAGCCTTCTTGCATTTTACTGGACAATGAAACTCTGAGAATGTATTTTCTGGAATTTGCCTTCTCTCTCTTATTTGAAAATCAAGACACATGCCCATCTCAAGTGTTCTGAAGATTGTTTTTTCTGTTTTCTCTAGTTTATTCACAACTTTTCCTTTCTTTAGGCAATGTGAAATGAGCTGGAGAAAGAGACGTGAAACCAGAATGCACAACTAGATGCTCTCTAGTTTCTTGCCTTATCTCTGCTTCTTTCCATTGCAAGAATAGATCTCAGCATTATTGCTTTGAATATAGCTTTAAACATCACTTTGAGTGTTTTTGACACTTTCTATAAGCTTTTCTTGGCTTACAAAATCTTCTGGATTTATCCTGTTATTCTTAAAGATTTATTCTATTCTTTAGTTTTATCACCTTCCAACTTTGTATGTGTACTTCTATTTAACACTGTTTCAACCTTCATTATGCAAATAATGCATAATTATTATAGAACATTAGAAAATATAAAGAAGCAAAAAGGAACATCACTGCTAAAATCACCATAGTTAACATTTTGGTGTCTCTCTTATGCTTTTTCACTGAGCAAAACATGCAGACGTAAATGTATGTTTAATCAAAGAACTGTCTTATTAGTATATTGTAAATGTAACCTTTTAAAGAACTGATCTCCTGGGTGTGGTGGCTCATGCTTGTAATCCCAGCACTTTGGGAGGCAGAGGTGGGTGAATCACTTGAGGCCAGTTGAAGACCAGCCAGGCCAACATGGTGAAACCCCATCTCTACTAAAAATACAAAAATTAGCTGGGCACCGTGGTATACGCCTGTAGTCCCAGCTACCTGGGAATCTGAGGCACAAGAATCACTTGAACCAGGGAGGCACAGGATTCAGTGAGCCAAGATCATGCCACTGCACTCCAACCTGGGTGACAAAGCAAGACTTATCAGAACTCTTCTCTTTTAGGAGTTCCATGTCATGAGTTTATCAGCTTTCATCTAAGCTTTTCCCAAACTCATTTGTCTAAAGATTAGAACAGTGAGGTTTTTTAAAATATCCTAGGGTACATCTTGAAGATGCTATTTTGGGGTATGGGAAGAAAATATTAGATATTTATATGTACTTTAAGTAAAATAGAAAAATAAATTTTACTGATATTCAATATATGAATTGGCATTGTCACCTATGCTTGGGTCAAATGTCAGTTACATATCACAAGACATTAAGGAATACTGAAAAAGTAGGAATTACACAGAATAGAAGAAATGACAAGCATCCTTCCTCAATAATATGTTATTGTTTATGTTTGTCCAATTCAGTGGATTTATAGATTCCTTTATCAGGTTTTAACTAAATCCTCAAAACATGGACAAAACTTTGAAAAAGATTCTGCCATAAAAACCAAATCAAGGATAATACCAATATCAAATGAACCACAAGAAAAAGACATAATTGATGCCATTTACTCCAAGAAATGCCATATTATTTCATCACTCACATTACCTTCAATGTAGAAGCAATGACAGTCTAATCAGACCTGAGACAAGAATACTATTTGAAATATAGATTCCTATATACTGCTCTTAAAAATGAACCTCACCCTAACAGTGCCTTGAGATAATAGCAAGTGATGGTGTGCAAACATCATAATTAGCAAGATATTTGAAAATATCATTTTTCATATGTTTAAATGTTCAATTTTGCTCTAATATCATCTAACATTCAAGTTTCCCTAACAACGCTATCTAAATAGCCTTTTGTTATTCCCAATCTTCATATATTGTTTTTTTTTCTTTACAGTTCTTTATTGCCACCAGACATAATTATTTGCTACCTATCTCCCTGATCCCTCTCTTAAGATGTAAGCTCCAAAAGCTGAGAAACAATATATAAACATTCCCTTTTCTCTGGGCCTCACTAGCATCTGCTGTGTTTTGACCTTT